TAGTCGGTGTAGTCATCGCCTGGACCGGCTGGGTGAACAGGACAGAACGAATGAGTCAACAGGGAGCTTTCGTCCTTCTGCCTCTCCTCCTCAGCCTCTGCCTCTGCCTCTGCCCCTCCCTCTGCCTCACTCTCCGCCTCTGCCCCTCCCTCTGCCTCACTCTCCCTCTCACTCTCTGCCTCTGCCCCTGCCTCAGCCTCTTCCCCTCTGCCTCTGCCCCTCCCTCAGCCTCTGCCCCTCCCCTCTGCCTCTGCCCCTTCCTCAGCCTCTGCCCCTCCCTCAGCCTCTGCCCCTCCCTCAGTCTCTCTCTCTGCCTCTGCCCCTCCCTCTCACTCTCAGCCTCTCTCCCCCTCTGCCTCTTCCCCACCCTCAGCCTCTCCCTCTGCCTCTCCCTCTCCCTCTGCCTCTCCCCCTCCCTCTGCCTCACTCTCCCTCTCACTCTCTGCCTCTGCCCCTCCCTCAGCCTCTCTCCCCCTCTCTCAGCCTCTGCCCCTCCCTCAGCCTCACTCTCTGCCTCTGCCCCTCCCTCTGCCTCTCAGCCTCTGCCCCTCCCTCAGCCCCTCTAACTCTCTGCCTCTGCCCCTCTCCCCTTCTGCCCCTCTGCCTCTGTCCAGTGGTTAGACTGGGAGCAAAGATGCTCACTGAGGATCCTGGCGAATCCAAAGTCACACAGCTTGATGACACCACCCTTGGTCAGCAGGATGTTCTCCGGCTTCACGTCTCGGTGGATACACTGGGAGTGAGAGAGGGCACAAAACAGTGAGGGGTAAGAAGGGAAATCAGGAGAGGAGGTGGAAAGGGGAGAGAGAGGAGAAATGAGACAGAGGGGAGAGGAAGGAGCTGAGAGAAGAGGGGGTCTGACAGAGCTGAGCATCAGACAGGGCAGCTCAAATGTGCAAATATTTGTAAACTCCCTGCTAATTGTTACTGCTTGAAAACACTAATGCATCAGTCATGCTAATAAGGCTCTTTGAATCTGAGACATGCAGAGAGAGTGCGCCAAGCAAACAACTACAGACAGATGGAAAGAGTACAGCAACACAGCTGTAAAGAGGCAGAAAGGCTAAAGAGACAGAGAAGGCATAACAGCCAAACAACAACAGACAGGCTCAGAAACAGACAGCAACACAGTGGGACAGAGGCAGACGCCCAGCCCGACAGCCTGGAAGACAACGACGAACACAGAGCAGGGGGAGACAGACGGACAGGACGGACTGACAGACAGGACGGACTGACAGACAGGATGGACTGACAGACAGGACTGACGTTGTGCTTGTGACAGAAGTTGACAGCCTGCAGGGTTTGCCACACGATACTCTTCACCTGAGGCTCCGGGACCCTGGAGAAACACACAAGGAGGGAGAGGAAGAGATTTAGAGAGAGGGGGCTAATTTACACCCACCATTCACAACTGTAGGTTCACACAATGCTGTGAGAACGCTGAGAGTGCTTACATGCACACGTATCTAATTAAAGTGTCACTACAGAATGAAAAAAAATAATTAAAGACTCGTTTCCTGTGTTTTTAAAATTAAGATTTAAATCAAAGAGAAGAGGAAGACTTTAAATGACGAGAACAGACCCAGCTTGCTCTCCTGTCAGCACTGAAGATTTACAGCTCGTGTGTGTCAGAGACGCCCCCCTGTACTTGGGGGCTCTCTGTCTCTTTAAGAGTGAGGCCACATTCTCTGTCTCCGGCCTGTTAACCATGGCCTGCGCCTCCATTCACCATGGTGACCGCTGGTCTGTTGCCCCGACAACGAGGGCCTTTATTTCCACTGGGATGGAGCCCTTGTGGCAGCTCATGTTACGAGCTACAGGGCATGCTGGGAAGGGGTGGATCTGAACTTCAGACTTGACAGAGCACAGACGTGGTACTGCTCTCCAAACGGCCATCAGACTCCGTGTGCACAGCAATACGGGACAGACCAGATGTCACCAGCAGCTGGTTCTCAGTACAAAAGTTAATTCAAATTCAAAGCCATCATTGAGAACATGCTGTACGTCCACCTTCCTTCACACAGCACAGGCATGTCTGCTTTCTGGAGCTTTACCTTGCGATATGTGCAGGCGGACAAGCAGACAGGCAGATGGACAGATGGACAGGTGGAAGGACAGATGGACAGATGGATGGACAGGTAGAAGGACAGGGAGGCAGACAGATGGACGGACACACTGGCAGATGGACAGGGAGGTGGACAGGCAGATGGACAGACGGGTGGACACACACACAGGCCAGCGGACAGATGGACACGTGGACGGATACACCAGCTGATTGACAGGCTGATGGACGGACAGATGGAAGGATACATTGGCAGATAGACAGGGAGGTGGACAGGCAGATGGACAGACGGGTGAACAGGCAGGCAGGCAGGCAGGAGGACAGACAGATGGACAGGCTGATGGACAGATGGGTGGACAGGCAGATGGAAGGATACATTGGCCGATGGACAGGCAGGCGGGCAGGAGGACAGACAGATGGACAGGCTGACCCGTGGGGGTGTCGGTCCAGCTCCGTCAGCACCGTCTGCTCACAGAACTCAAAGACCAGGTGGAGCCGCCTCTTCCTGCGGAAGACCTCAAGCAGATTGACCAGGTTCACGTGCTTCAGCTGCTGCAGGGGCAGACGGGGAGGAGTGCTTGAACACACACTTCGCCCAGCCACACAGCTCACAGAGCACAACAGCAAGAACATAAGCTGAAACAGATGCCCGCAAAACCAGCCATTTACATTCACCGTGACTTAACTGAGTAAACAGGAGCTCTTCACTTTTATTAGCGCACAGAGCTTCACATACGCAGCACAACTCAATACATTCTTCCACATTCAGTCAGGTCAGTCTGTGTCCAGTGTCTATGGCCAGGCTGTGGTCACTGAGCCTGTCCTCTCTGGACAGTCAGGTCAGTCCGTGTCCAGTTTCTATGGCCAGACTGTGGTCACTGAGCCTGTCCTCTCTGGA